CAGCTCTTGCTAAGCACTAAGTCATTCTCACTGACCCATCCTCTCCAGCTGAAGACAGAGATTGGAGATTCCCAGATACCCCCATGCATTGTGGTGTGAACATGCCCAGTGGGTCAGTCTCAGGTATGAGCTATAAATACGTCTAACCTGTAAAAAGCGTTGGGGCTGAACAGTCAGTGTTGACAAAACAAACGGGTTATTAAAAGTACGTAACATGGTTTGACTGCACATGTTTTCTGGAGGAGTTATAACTGGCTGGGAGCGAGACTTGATTTTCATCTTGGGCATGTCAACATGAACTCCTGCACGTTCCAAATCAAAATTGTGAGATCAAGGAGTGGGGATGGGGGGGGAATACAGACTTTTCTTAGGATGATGCTTTTTGCATAAATCAGTATTTTGTTTTCTTATGGACTACTGTACTTGATTCTTACTACTTCTATTGAAAAGAAAGAGGATGTTTTCCCCTGTTATACAGACATGGAAAAAACAGAACCTGGAACTGCTTGATTTTTGTTTTTGTTTTTGTTTTTTTTTTTTAAGTTTACTTTAACTAAGAGTTTGGGAAGGAATATAGAAAGCATATGAAGTAAATGTGATACAGTAAAAGCTAGCCTTGTTTTTACACTATCAAAAATACCACATAGATACAACAAAAAGGAATACACATATTTTTGTAAGATGATTAAGGTTATGAGTTTAGTAAGACTCAAGAAATGATTTGACATCTCTTGCCAGCATGCAAGCAAGTACTAAAAGGATGTTAATATAAAAAGTTTACCATAAACTGTACCCAAGCTTCATTTACAGATGTCATCAAATAAGTGTTTGCTGTTGGATTTCTTGATACTCTTGCTGGCTGTTATACGGAAATAACACGTTGGATTACAGAAGCATCTTTGACTGCAGTATGATCATATTTATGATACATTCCTTGAGTCTTAGCTTTTTTGCCAATGATATTATTTTGCATTTATCTTTCTTCATGGTAAAATAAATAAATTAAAGCTATGGCCCTGTTTTTAATCTTCTTTATTGATTCCTAATTAAATGTCCATTAGATTTTTAGTAGAAAAGGTTCTTCTTAAGTGGCAGTTTAAGTATCTTATTGGAATATTCACTGTAGCCATTAACCAGAACCTGCTTTTCTGAGATCTGATGACAGTAGTATTAAAGTGAATCCAGGGTCATCCTATGGGAAGTAACCAATCAAATGTATGTTGTACAATTAGATTGTTTCTTTCATGTACCTCTGTAATAATAGTTTTTATTGTGATAATTAAGCTTTCTATTATTTGTAATTATTAAACAAGTTTAATTATGATGTATGCAGCTTGAAACATTTAATATTAATGTTTATGCATTGTATGTACCTTAGTAAGGCATGCATAGTGCTTTGTCATACCCTGATTCTGTACAGTGGGCTAAAGGCTATTTTGTAGGGACCCAGTAGATGGCAATAAAGGATGGATGTTGAGGGTTTTCATCTTTGCCCAGTTTTCATTTGAGTTCTTGGCAAGAAGGTTCCTGTTGGAAACTTTTAGCCAGTGTGAAGCACTTTTCATTGGATGGCTGATGACTGCTGAAATTCCACCATTGTCCCTTGCTGATGACTTGGTTTGAGACAGAGATGACATGGCCTGTAGAATAAATTCTGTTAACATTAACAGAAATATTATTAACTATTCATGTTAGTATTTTGATTACTGTAACTATTGTCCTTTTAATCTGGAAGTGGAAATGGCTTTTGCTGCTATTCCTAAAATTCATCTACATTATTGGATTCGTTCCTTATTTTGCATGGGAATCAATGATGTGTTAAAACTTCTGTATCTAATGACAAGGTTGTGATCTTAAAGCAGGCACGGTGTTATGGAAAAAGTAATGTGCCTGGAAGAAATGTTGCTTACTGTTGCACAATGGATCCTTAAGCTTGTTGTAGTCATTGCGGATTATGAATTTAAAATATAGGGAAATTTAGCTTGTTTCAAGCCTATACTTCTGGGGTTTTTTTATTGTGTAAAGGTTATTTTTATTTTACTGAAGTTTATTTTTTTCAGTTATTATTTATTACTGCAAGATCTTTCTCCTTTCTTATCTTGATAGCCTTTTCATATGCTCCACATGGAGAGCGCTGTTGAAAATGATTTTGTTTCTTTGTGCTGTGAATATGATTTCAATGTTCTTGGATCTTAAGCTTTTTCTTATAAATGGAGTCCTTTGTACCAAGAGATTCTGAGTCTTATCTACTACATGTTTAACTTCCTAGTTCTTTTTCTAAGGAAAATTTGATTTTTCTTTGCTGGCTATTGAGATTTATTTTGCAGCTATTTTAAGTGATCTCTCCACCAGATATGGCTTTTTTTGTAATCTGAAGGAATATACATACATTAACATTTTAATTTGTAAATTGAACTTGTTTTTTAGTGTCCCATTCTTTTTTATTTTAGAGCTAATATTTTTTTTTTCCCCCTTTGACATAACTCTTTTCCCCTTTCCCCTACCCCAGTAGACTTTAGGTATGATCTAGAAATGAAAAGTGAGATTGTTCTTTGCAATTCTATTTCTGTACTTTAATTCAACAGCTCATTCATCCACACCGTGTTTATCCAAGAAGCTGCAGATACCAAAACCTGATTTATTCCTTCAACAAACTCTTTGTTTCAGATGCTTTGTCAGTGCCTTCATCAGTTCAGAGATTTACTCTTTCATTTTTAAACTTTAGGAGCAAATATGAACCGTTTTTTTTTTTTTTTTTTCCTTTTTCACTCGGTAGTATTCATAGATACACAGATACAATATTTCTTCAAAGGTTTCTTTGATAAGCAGTTACTATTTAAACTTAAATGAAGTACTACACTTTTGAATTTTAAGTTTGAGACGCTGCAATACAACTCATGGTGATTCTTCTCTAGTGCTTAAGGTCGTGTTCTCTTAGCATGTGAAACAATTTCACATCTAGTCTGAATAGTTTGCACAGACAGGCAACTTCTGTGCATCTCCACTGGTGGTGACAGCCAGAGCTAACATGACAGTGAACGGGGAGCAGGCTACAGGCAGAGGAAATTGTTCTGTGCGATACAGCTTTTTTTAGTGCTCCATGTCCATCTGTCTTGCTTTAGTTAGTAGAAGAATCAAAAGCGTGAAAGAGGCCAGTGCGAATGGATTCTGATGTCTGTGGTTGTGAGGTTTGTCAACTAATAAGCTATTTACCTTGAGATTGTAATAATTAAAGCTGTGCAAGTGATTATTACTCAGTTACTACATTCAAAAATTGAAATCCTTCTATTTTGGCTCGCCTAAGTGAATATTTACTGTCTTGTACGTTTTCCCCCTTTTTAAGGTAAAGTCTATCAGGAGAACAGACTTTCAGAGTAAAGAAAAGCTTAATGCCTGAAGAAATACTGCACTTCTTAATTTGAATGTGGTATCTTTGTGAAGCTCTGGGTATGAAGTGTAAAATCCATAAATCTTCGGTAAAGTTTACAGCTGACAAAATGACTGAACCAGGAGGCCAGTGGTTGGAATGATGGGTTAACTGTTCAGCAATTTGGAACAGTTAATGAAATAGTTGGAAGGAGATCGTAAGATCACCTTCATTAGGTCAGGTCAAAGATGTGTCTGTCCCACCTCACTAATACCCTGTATGTCACTGTCTGTTTGGAGATGTGGAAGGAATAGTACAAGTACTCCTTTGGTATATTTATACGCCTTCACTGGTTTGCAGCTTGGGGACTTTCTGAATCAGAGACATAGTCTTTGTGTTTGACATCCTTTGAATTTCTTGTCAGTGGATTTATCCAATTTCTGTTTTAAATCCATGTAAATTTTTAGTAACTTCTTGTCACAGAGAGTTCCAGGACTTAAGTATCTGTTTTGTGGAAAAGGATCCAATTAATTTTTTAGCTTGTTATTTTTAAGTTTCATTAGCCACCTCCAATTTCTTGTAGTGGAAAATCGTGCAAGTGATCATCCCTCTTCACTTCTTTGTATCTTTTGTATCCCCTGTTAAACGTTTCCAAATGCGAGTGTATTATAATGTAGGTAAATGCAGTGCAGTGAGTCTGGAAAGGATGGGTAAGTTGTTCACTGTTAGGGAGGAGGTGGTGATGTCCTCAGGGCAGTGATCTGAGGATTTAGGGACTGGCATAGCTCTACAGCAAGACTGCTGATGTTGGATAACATGAACTGTGGATGAGTAAGGAGAGCGTTGAGCAAAAGTGGATGTCAGAAGTTATCCTGTGATTGTAAAACATATTTTAGTATTTGCTTTCATGCTAAAAATTTAAGACTAAAAATTTGTTTCAAAACTATGCTTCAAAACATTTTTTGGAAGAGTTCTTTTGTGTGTGAATGTGTTTGTGTTTCTCCCACTAGCAAACTTCTGGCACATGGACAACACTGGTCACTGCTTACTATGCTGTAATAGGATTGCAGTGGCAGGGATCTTGACAGTATGTTGTGTTCTTCCTCGTTGAATGATTTGATTCACCTCCTCAACTCTTAACCTAATTACTTTTGTGCCATCTCAGAGTCTGTAGATAATAGGGAGCAGGTGAAACTAAGTAAATTATTGGGTGCTTTCAGGTCAGATATTTCAGTTTTCAGAATGTCCGTGTCTTTTGATTAGATATACTGTATTTTAAAAAAAACAAAACCCTTGGATCTGAGATTGACCATGGGATCATCTGACCTTAATGTCTGTGAAACTGAATTTATTTTATTGACTACCTTACTCTTTTTACTCTTTTACATAAAGATGCCTGCATCTTTATGTAGGCAGTCTTGAGGGTATTCCACTGGATTAGGTGGTAGATCATTCAGTCACACCAGAGAGGATTATTAGATGCTTCTATTAGAAGGCTCAGCCATTTCTTTAAAGAGTAACTTTTTGCAGTTTAAGTTGATGCTGTGTGGTGCTACATGATCAGTATTTTGAAAAGCTTTTTTTGTGCTTTGCTGCAGAATTTTTATTGTATGTTCAGAATATGGAAAGGTGCAGTGTGACTTCCATGTTCAAAGTTTTCTTGTTTCAGAAGTATCATCTTTAATTTTTTAGAAAGTACCTGTGATCATTAGGAAAAAAAAAAAAAAACAGCAGGAGATCTTCATTTCTTGGAGTCTCTATTCAGGCATGCTAAGAACATCTGTGTAAAAGTGATACAGTCAGCTCAATACCATTTGCAGAATTCTTGTTGTTGACAGGTGTAAGAAAGTAAATTACAATGGCTGCGTGGTGCTAACAAGAAGCAGGTACAAACAGGAAATAGTGTATATATACTTATTTTCATCACTACAGTTATTTTCATGAAATGATACACACAGAGAATTACTGTGTTTCTTTAAACAGGAAAATTTCTTGTGACTTCAAGTGAGCTTTTTGTCCTGTTATCTTCTGGAAAAGTCAATGGTTTAAACTTGGAGATTTTCAAATGTATAAAATACTCTCTTGTTAGAGTAGACAAGTCTTTGTGTGGTTATATTTTTATCTTCCTGTGTTCACTGTGTTTTCCTTCTCTGCGTTACCTTTTTTGTGAGGCTTGACTTGCCAGGCTTTTTCTGTATTATCCAAAAGTTAGTGTTGGTTGGTACCGGGAAGCAGTTTTGGTCACTAGAATGCCAGTGGAGTGCAAATTGTGCATGCTACAGGAAGACAGTGGATCATACTCGTTATGCAGATCTACGACACTGTTTTAGTGCTTTGAATTTATGAGTGGTTATTTAACCACAACTTTTACATAGGACTTCCAATATTGAGGAAGAAGTTGGTTCTTTTGCCAGGCTTCATTACAAGATACAAAGATGTCATGAAGTGACATCAGTTCAGCTATGAAATACCAACATCTTAGTGCAGTTAGTGAACTGCAACTCAGTGTTGATTTGGGTCGATTTTTGTTCGTGCTAGATTGGAGAAAATTCTTTTCTTTGACTGTAGCCTATGTACAGAGTCTGCAGTGCAGCATGACAGCTTGTAACCTTGACCTAAGGTCTCTGCCAATGTGAGTGAAGGTTTCTTGTGGTGTTGGATAGAGAAAGCAGATGCCTGTGAGCTGTGTGTATTATTAAAGGGAGGGAAGTGGTCTTAATTCTCCGCTAACTTCTGACATATTCTACATTGGGCTTCTCCATTTAATTCTCTTAATTTAACTTGTGTCCAAATTCCAGCTGACGGAACAATAATCCCGAGTTATCCACTACTGGGAAAAACATGAACTGGGTTTCATTTAAGAGGTGCTCAGATAATGACAAAGACACATGGCTTCCCTAAGCACAGTGTCGAAATTGGTTTGCAACTGGCAGTTTTATATTTTGTTTGTAAGCACTGTGGCAAAGAGTAAACTTTTTACTTAAGAATTTAAACTAGATTACTTAATAAGACTTCTTGCTTGCTTTCTTTATAAACATTTTTCTGCTCTTTTTTTAGACATGGACCGTGATTATGGGCATGGAGGCTATGGTGGCCCACGATCCATGGACTCTTACCTTAACCAATCCTATGGGATGGAGAGTCATGGAGGTGGAGGCGGAGGAGGTGGTGGTGGTGGTAACAGGTAAAATAATCCTTCAGTTGTCCCAAGAATTGATCAGATCCAATTTAAGTTTAAATCATTCTGTCTTCTAACTTAAGTGTTCCTGAGGCATGTTGTTACGATTTTGTATGAACACTTTCGTTCTGAGTCTTCATGTTCGATAAATACTGGCAAATACTAAACTGTAAGAGCTAGATTCTTGTAATAATCAGCATTTTTTTGGAAAAGTTTGGCAGTGAAACAATGCGTCTTTGAATGAAAATGGAAAAAGTTTTATTTTTCAGTAATGGCTAGCAATTTGTAGCTGATTGGCCTGACATACCATTTCTGACATAGCAGACTAGACCTAACTGGTTTAGTGCCTTAGACTGAATCTATCAACATTCCGTTTTCAAGGAACATTTAGGGTATGTGTTCTTTGGTTTGAATGTGCAGTGCTCAAATGATCTTGGTATTGAATCTGAAAGTCATGTCCAGATTATTTCATTGGCAGGTACTGATTACACTCAAAACTGTGTGCACATTCTGGGCTGCTTTGTAAGATGGATTGGTCTAAAAATAAAAATTCTGATGCAGTGGTCTTAAAATTGTGTATTTAATGCTAGGATACTATTACCGTTGCTCTTTCAGATAAAAACAGTAGGAAGCAGCTGATTTGATTTAGGTCTTAATATCGTATTCAAAGAAGCATGCTTTTCAGAGTAGTGATTCTATCTTGGAGGAAATAAAATGTGAAGAAAACTTAGATAATCTGATGGTTTTCTTGTGTGCGCCCTTGAATTCTTGTCTGGCTGTAGCCAGACTACTGTATGATTCTTGTCTGTAGTCACTGTGATGCCACTGGGCAAGGACAGTACTAAGTAGGGAGGCTGGAGAAGTGTTGTGTTTTGCTGCACGGTTCTGTTAAACATTTTAGTTAAGTATAATTGTTTAATGATGAACATTAAGATTGACTTAAAAGTCTGAGCAGAGATTCAGGAATGAGCTGTACCTACCATATAGTAATCTGCATATGATTGAGGTTGAATGACTACTTGAACACCGAAATGTCTCTTGCCATGTAACGTTAATATTTTGCATGGGCTCTTTCTGTAGATAGTGTCATTTCCTGTGTAGCTTTGGGTCTTCTGAGACTAACATATTTTAAAATGAAGGCATTCAGTTTACTATAGATACAGTTAGTAGTTTGAGTCTGTTCTAGTTTATATTTTATCAGTCAAGGGGTTGTCTTTCCCAACTCCTGGTGAATCACCTTATTATAACCCTGCAGGGACACTAATGTGTTTCCCTTCGAAGCGGTTACAAATATTGATGATTTCTAGCCTGACTCTCTCCCCCCAGGCAAAGCAAACTCTTGGTAAATAACTAAAGATTTCAGCTCCTTGTTACTCTACTCTGAAATTCCAAGGACTGTTTTCGTGTCCACTGTGCATGCATTGGGTAGACTTTCAAAATCCTAAGTTGCTAGACTTAATGGTCTGCAAGTGAGAGCTGGATACACTGAAGATCATGAACTCTTTGATTGGAAGACTGAATTTTACAGGGAAGAAAATTTCCAGAAAGTACGAATATGAGTGGAAGAGCTCGTGTATTTTTTCTTTTCAAATTAGAACTGTGGGATGTTTAAGACTCACAACTGTACCACTTAAAAAAAAAATTATTTTTTTTTTTCTCAGTTCAGAACTAAGCCGCCTTTTAACTGCTGTTTAACTGTTAGAATACGAGGGCATGATTTTGAATAAAGGAGAGTTTGACTAGCCTATGAATGTCTGCAGGTGATTATTTTCGTGAGACTAGGGCTGGGCTCTAATAATGTTTTAGTAAATAAATGTTGCTGAAAATTTTAAGTAAACAAAGTTCAGGCATACTGAACTTTAGAATTGTTTGTAGCAAAAATGGCTCAGATAGCTTTCTATCTGGTCATAGTGTGATTTGCCCAGCCCTAATCAAGATTAAACAATAACACAACTGTACGGACCAGTATAGTAATAAATTGATTTTAGTTGATAAATGTCAACTGATAACTTGTCTTTTGAAATGTATAACATTAGTAAGCTTACTTTTTTTTCTCCTCACTGTGCAACTTTTCCAGGTTTGGACCTTATGAGTCTTACGACTCCGGGTCTTCTCTGGGTGGGCGAGATCTGTACAGATCTGGCTATGGTTATAATGAACCCGAACAAAGCCGCTTCGGAGGTAGTTATGGTGGTCGATTTGACAACTCCTACCGGAATAGCCTTGACTCTTTCGGAGGTAGAAACCAGGGCGGGTCTAGCTGGGAAGCACCTTACTCCCGTTCAAAATTGAGGCCTGGGTTTATGGAGGACAGAGGAAGAGAGAGTTACTCTTCCTACAGCAGTTTTTCTTCACCCCATATGAAGCCTGCACCTGTAGGCTCTCGGGGGAGAGGAACGCCTGCTTATCCTGAAAGTGGATTTGGAAGCAGAAACTATGATGCTTTTGGAGGACCATCAACAGGCAGAGGCCGAGGCCGAGGAGTAAGTACAGAATCTTTTCAGATTCTTTTCACTAGACACTCTTTTAAACCCTTTCAAGACCACTGCTTTAAAATGAATGCACTGTTCAGTACAGTGTGGGTTTTTTGTCCAAGCAAACTATCATGGTTGACAATGTTGTTTACTCCCTTGAAGCTGTCTTCAAGTAGAACCCAGTCCCTCTTTCTGTTGAAAGTAATGAGTAATAGAAGACTAGTTGATAAGGTTTGTTAAATCTCTCCTTTTGTTTGAAAGGTGAAGATAAAAGTAATAGGTTTGGTCTAAAAGGGATTAAAAGGACTTGCATTTTTCCTTGTAAACACTAGCATCTTTGCTGCTGGTGGGGAAATTCTTGAATATTGTAAAAGTTTAATTCAAAGTCTTTTGAAGTTTTGAGTAGGTTAAAGGTGCAATGTATAAGCAAAAAATAAAACCCAGGTTGTGAATGCTAGAGTAGTTTTTGTTTCCTGTAAAGGTAAAAGTTTAGCTAATTCTTTAGTATGTTGAAACATACTTTATCAAACATCAAGTCTTCTTTTAAACTTAATTCTTACTCTGACTTGTGTATTGGAAGGGTGATGGGGAGGAAATGGCAAAGGTGGGTGGTTAGCAGTTACAGTGATTCTTTTTCAAAATTAAAGCATGGTTAAAGGGGCATCATCAACTTGAAATCAGGTCCTTTCACACAATTGAGATTAATTTCTAGATAGTGTGCCTAGTGATGTTACTTGTATTCATTTTGTTTTGAAGACTTATGTTCTAACTACTTTTCAGTGGATTCCTTTCCAGTGTAGGATGTAAAACCTGTATGTCCAAGAAACAGCGAGATTAACTGTGCACAAAATAGTGGATCACAGTTTGGAGAAGTAATGCTTGATGTTAAATGAGCTAGGGGGGGAAAAATACAGCAAAAGAGAATAAAAAAAAATCCTGACGAAGAATTACTAACTTTAAGTTGATGGTGTCCCTTTATCTTGGTTTTAGAATCCCAATTCTGAATATTTTTTTTTTTTTTAAGCACAAAGAGTTCAGTGAACACTTTTCTGCCTAGGTGTAACTTATCTTTTAAAATTCTTAAGCGTGCCATATTTCTTTGGGAAGCAATTCTTTAACATTAAACCATACAACTTGTTTGTAGCTTGCAGTGTAGAGGAAGATTATTTTTTACTGGGTCTTTTAAATGCCTAATTGTGTGGTGGTTTTGTTCCAGAAAGTCTACTTTACAGCATTCTTGAGTACTGTAGTTGCCATATTCAAATTTTAGCTCAGATTTGCACATGGCTGCTAGCTAGCATGTGGCATGGTATGAGAAATAGATTCTAATCTTTGTTTCTCTGCTTGTGAAGCTGAAAGTGTTAGGTTCTTAAGCTTGGATGCCATCCTTTCAGAACTCATTTAGATCTGAAAGTTTTGTGCAGAGTTACAACCAAGTAGCCTTATTTCTTTTTTGTTTTCCTTTTGAAATTTATCTTTTTAGTCTTTTATGTAATAAAGGAGAATGTAAAGGCTAAACTACTTACCATATGTAAAATGCATTGCACCTTTAATAGATAGACTGACTGTTTAAAAAAAATAGTACTTGAAATTATCCAAGTGCATACTTCATGTCAAATTTACATGTGTACAGTGTAAATGTACATGCTAGGTAGTTCTATAACCATCTCAACTAAATAAATTAACATGGAGATCTTGTGCATGGACTTCTGGTTAAGAAAAGTGCCCGTTTTGGTACATTCTGTCTGTCATTTAAAATTCGCTTAAAAAAAGTCGTACTTATCACGCAGTATGTTGGAGTTATTTTTATGTTCTTTTAACTTTGATAGTGTAATACTAATTCTCTTCTCATGGCAATACAAATATTTCTGCTTATCCAAGTCACCCATCCAGTCAGTGGGCTCTCTTCTGCCCTTTATTAATCAAATAATTGAGTTAATATTACAAAGTATGTTAGCGCTTTTGAGAATATTGCAGCTACCTAAATTCTCCCTCTTCAGATTACTCATTTATTCCATACCTTCAGAGAGGTAACTTTAATAAACAAGTGTCCAGAAATGACTGTACAGCATTTTAGAAATAATAGAAAGGTTTAGTCTTTCAGCTGAATTTTCATTCCTATTGCTGCCACATTTTTGTATTGCTCCCTCCAGGCCCAACTTTTAAATTCTGAATTTATTGAATTCAGTGGAAAGATAAGTAGAAGGAAGAATGAGCTTCCTTCAATTAATCACTGCTCCACACTGGACAACCTTCTTTACTCTGTTTTCTAATAATTTGGCATAATGAAGCTTTTTTTTCTTTCTTTTTTTTTTTTTTTTAACATATGACTGCTGTCTAAAGTGTCGAAAACTGGGTTGGTTAGGTCTGTTTTTTCCCAGAGGGAGAAGTCATTCGTCATCTAGAGAATCTGAAGAGAGGAGCCAAGATGTTAGGCTGAGATATGAACTCTGATAATCATGTTCATTGTCTGGACAATGGTTCTGAATAAGCAGAAACACAGTTTATACATATGTATTCATTCTATTGGACAAACACCCACAAAGCCATTGCACAACACAACATCAAACCAGGAGCTTAAATTTCCCCTGCATTTTGCTCTAGAACACAAATTTTACTTAGTTCACCGTATTATTGTACCAAGTAATTGTTTTATTTCTATTGATTTCATATACTAATACCTTTCTCTTGATTTCACAAATTTTCAGCATATGGGAGACTTTGGAGGAATGCACAGACCTGGAATTGTTGTTGACTATCATAACAAACCCAGTCCTGCAGCAGTTGCTGCAAGAGGAATAAAAAGAAAAATGATACCACAGCCATATAACAAACCTGGTGGGACATTTATCAAGAAACCCAAAATGACAAAACCTATTTTGAAGCTGAGCCAGAAAAAATCACCTAGTAAGTAACAAGTGCCAAAATTCTTAAGTTAAAATTACTATTTTTTTTATTCATTAGGAATTATTTAGTTTTAATATTCAGAAAGAGGGCTGTATGTGCTGTTTTGTAATTCTTCATTTTCTGCCTTTGAAGTACTCCACAACAGATTTTGTGAATTTACTCTTCTAACTCTTCTACTGCAAAGATAATTTGCTGAAGGAAATTGAGTATTTTCATGTGTTCAAATATGTACTGCTGAAGAGTATTTCATTCAGACTTTATAATGATACTTCCTGGAGGCAAATTTTCACCACTGAAAATAATTTCAGATCTCAGGTTGCCTTAAGTGACAGTGCCTGACAAATATTAAAATGTGCCCTTGCACGAGCCTGGCCCTGCTGTCCAAATACTTTTACGGATATAAAAATTAGCACATCAACTGCAATGCAGCTAAAATAAAGGCATAAGATGTGGGTGAAGAGGAGAGGAAAAAGGAGGCAAACTGAGAAAACAGTGAAAATAGTTACAGAATAACTTATGAAAGGCCGTAATTATAAATGAAATGCAGTAATTAAGAGAAGAACTGGAAATATGATAGATAAACTGGAAATATAAATTGCGAAGTATTAGTGGCGCTTAGTTTGTTTAGCTTCCCTAAAGATATCCTACAACTGTAATAATTTTGATATTGCAGGCAAAGCTGGGGAAAAAAATTACTAATGAGGTTTAAATAAATTACTTGCTTTGAGGGAATGTAAACTTTATTAAATATTATGAAAGGCATGTACAGCAGTCAAATTTTAGTTTTTTGTGCATGTAATTTCCTCAGTAATTTGATCTGCAGTGTTTTATATAGTTTGGTTTCAAATCACACCTGAAAAATGTTTAAAATTACTTTAGCTCAAAGCTTGCAAGGAAAATGCACAGACTTGGCAAAAACTTCCACATGAAAATTTTATTTTTGATTTTGTAATTCTAGTTACACTACTGTGTATTCCAAAACTGTTCCCTTAACTTTAGCTTCAAGAGTACTGTAAAAATTTCAGGCACTGGGTGTATAAAACACGTTCCTCTGCCCTTTTGTATAGGGAATGTTATTGCTGGACTCGCCAGCTTTGTTGTGATGAAATGGGTCTGTAAAATACACATCCAGGTATATCAAAGAATTTCATCTCAAAGGTCTCCCTCTTAGCTCTTCTTCTTTCAGTACTTCTGTAGGTTCCTCTTTTCTAAACTACCTTCAGACAGAGCACTTCTAGTTTATTATCTGTTCCCCCTCATTGATTTCCACAATCCAAGGACCAATGTACTACATAATATTGAAGTACTTCAAGAAGTGGAGTAGATAGCACCTACTAGAATGTACTTTAATCAGCGTGTCCTGTGGCTTTGAGATTGGGTGGTTTGATACAATTTTCTGAGACTTGAACTGAAAGGTGCTCTAAGCAATATCACAGAGTTGAAAACTAAAAAGCGGGTAACAACTAACAGAAAATTGGATGCAATTGGTATACAATATATGTATGAAAATATATCTCAAAATTACATTGTTCTTTCAGTCTTGACTTTCTTGTTTTTTTGGAGTTAGATATAGGTGATTGCTTCTAGAAGACTACTTAGTTTATATTCCTAAGAATAACTGATTTTATGTTTAGTAGTATTAGTAAAATGTGATAAATTGTAGATGTAGATAGTCCTAGCTGCATAACAAGCTGAATTTTTTTCCTAAATATCTTATTGCCTTAAAATGAATTGACAGTGACAGCACTTTTGCAGTATTTATTTCTTCCTCATTTTATCTTTATAGACATGAAGACATCTTTCCAGGATTCTACTATAGAGGTAAAGATTCCCAGAATTGGAAAGTGTTTGTGATTCTTTCAGAAGTTTGCAGAGTATACCTTAAGACGAATAATTACTAAGATAGAGTTATAAAAATTAAGCACTTAACTGTACAAATTTTTCTAAACTTAATTTTTTTTTCTTCACTTTATCTAAAACTGTCTTATTTTGTTGGCAGTCTGAAATCCTTACTGATTTTGAGTGAAAGATACAGCTTATGCAGATAGACTGGAAAATGAATTTTAAAGTGGATTTGTAGACCCTACCTATTCTTGTAATGCACGGAGAGCTGTCAACGAACGCTTCTCATGTTGTCATAGGTAGTCAGCCTGAATTCATACGCCTATGACCTGCTTGGGTGGGTTGAGAAATTAAGTACAAAATGACAGGGAGATTACTAAACAGCAGTGAGGAAGAATGGATAAGGCATAAGACACATAAAGGAGAGAGGGTAAATAAAAAAAGAACCAGTGTTGACAGGTGTTTACTGATAGGGTACAAAGATTAGTTCCCACCTACAGAAAGATCAGTTGCAACAATATGTGAGAATGTGATTAGTAAGCTAAGCTTGTATATATATCCAGGTCCCATGTTGAAAGACTGGAATGATATTTTCCTTCTTTTTGAGTGGAGGTATTAACATATTCTCAACTAAGTATTTGAAAGTCTGAATTGGAAGTCAGAATATTCATGTAGAAGACAGTGAGAATTTTGATTGTGAAACTAATTCACAAAGACTTAAGGCATTAAGGAGGAATGCATAGCTTGAAGTGTTTGTACATTGAATCTAACTAGATACTCAATTTGCTTTCTTCCGTTGTCATATTTGACAAAAATAGCAAGTAACAGATATTGGAAATAAAGTAATTTGCACAGTCTTTTTCTGGATTTAGAATGGCATTCTTTTGTTGTTTTTTTTCCTTACAAAATTTATGGATTTGACTTTATTAGGAAATTGAAGTGGACACAAGTGGTGCAGTTGTTATATATGAAGACTTTACAAGAGATGCTTATGATCTTGGATATCAGACTTTCGGAGGTAAGTCAGTTTGCTTTGTCAGGTAAGGTATTGTAGGTATTGTATTTGTGTGACTTTGAGTGAATAGATTTAGTAAGCCTGTGTGTATGATCTGTAATATTTACTGAGTAGCATGACTTTTTTTTTTCCCCCCCAAGAGTTTATAAATTTAGGCCATGGAGATGATTGATTGTAACACCCATCCATCACTTGTTTTGTTCCTTACATGCTTATTGTCTCTCTGCTTTCTGATCATCTCTGTATGTTGTTGTTGTTGTTTGACTTGGTTTAATTTTTGTGAAATTAATGTAAATGGTCTTCTATACTGACTGCCATTCCATTGCTTAAACGTTGTTTATCCCACCAGTTCCTCACCCATACCCTATTATTTATCTCACTAGCTGATCAACCTCGCCTTTAAGTCCTAGGTGAGTCACTTTTATAAAAGTGGATTTAGTTAACTCAGAGAGCTGTTCTCAAGAACACAGGGTCTATTTCATGTGCAGTCTTAATGAAACAGGTTAATTATTAGTTTACATAAAATCAGTTAAAGTGTATATTAACTGTACTGATTTTAAACACATACACAAAGAAATGCAGTGTTAAGACAAACTATTTTTAGTCCCCTTTCCCTTGTGTGCTGTCCTATTGCATATGTAGTCTAATCTGATGGTAAGAGGTGCTGGAAATTTGCAGCCAATTGATCAGAATTTCTTTTATTGAAATAGTAGTACTTTTTTTTCTTTTTTTTAATTGTGTGGGTTTTTTTTGATTTTAAAAGTTTGCATAAGTGCATTGAAGGAAAGCGGGAGCGTCACTGGGGAGTTTATATGTAGATTCAGGCTTCCATTCCCCGGCTTGTAACAGGACAGGCACTTGAATTTGTGAGCTTGAGGGGTAAGATACAGGCCATTTCACTCCACAGAATGTCATACTGGATGATTTTTACAGCAGTAAAACAAGTGATCTTTTCCTCATTTCCAGGGTTGGTGGTAAGGCACTGAGTGAAATTTTAAATCCTGACATCAGTAATGGGAATTGGCTCTGTGGGTGGGTGTTTGTTTTTTGTTTTCAAATTGAATTAAAAAACTAAAAAAAAAAATCTTTTGGATAGGAGTTTTTCTCCTCTCTGGATCAGAGTAATTTTTGAAACTCTTTGCTACAAAATGAAAAACCTGGGGGATGAAGTGTAAGCTGTTAGTTGGTGGAAACGTTTTCAGTACTCAGTGACACTTCCAGACCCATAGAGCTTTTTGCAAGTCATATTTTTTTTGCATTGTGCTGCTGTATGTTCCTTTCTGTTGCTATTGGGATGGAGGCAGATTTTATGGAGGCTGATGTCTCTGCTAAGGTTGAACTGCAAAAGAAAACTAAGTGATCCTCTTTTTCCTGCTCTAAAACTAGTCACTGAATAATGTTCTAATTGTTTCCTTTGTCCATAGGCTTTTAAAGCAGACATAGGAAAGGCAAACATAAGTACGCTTGTGCAAAAAGTCAATGTCCTTAGAAGTCTTTCATGTTGCAAAACTAATTTCTAGTCATTTATTTGTTTGCGTTCTTACTTACATGCCAGGTGATAATTTAATGAAGTTCTTCTTTGAAGGTTGGGTTGGGTTTTTGTTGTGTGGTTGGGCTGTGTGGGGAGGGGTGTTTTTTGGGGGGGCGGGCCCTCAGCTGGTTCTTCCTTCACTGGTTTATTTCTTCAGCTGAAAATCTTTGGAACATTCTTCGGTGAAATCAAGCTAAGTCTAGTGGGGAAAAAATAATAAAGTTGTTGAAGTTCAGATTGGGTTCCATACCTTAATGAAACACTGCCTTGTCTCCTTTATGAGAACCTCTGCTTTTGGTTTTGGAAACTGCCTCCTCAGCAGAAGAGAATGGCTTTAGATAGTTTCTTTTTATGTAAGGGAATTGTAGCAATGGTGTTCTAAACCCGTGGAGAGTTTTAAATAATGTGTTTTTCCCCATGGACCCCCGGTACCCTTTCCTGGTCATTTACTTGAAGAGGCCTTTAATAACTAGGCATAACAGGGTAGGGTTTGCTTTAACTCTGAATTTCCTTACTTTTATGAATGTAATCTAGAGTGTAACCCCTAAACTACTAAGTTAGCATTGTTGGAAGCAAATGTTTAAATTGGTTGTCTTTAGAGGAGGAAAACAAAGCAAAACTTCTATGGCATTTAAATAAGCCATTGAACCACTGTGGTATAGGGTCTTTGCATTTTAAGGTATTTGTGGAGGAGACGGGGAAGATGGATACTTTGACTGGGGTTTGAGGTTTTTCTGGTTTTGGGTATTGGTTTGTTTTTGGGTTTGTCTTTTCCTGGGTTTTTGTTTTTGTTGGGGGTTTTTTGTTTGGTTTTTTTTTGGAACATAATGTTTTAAAATCCTTCTATTGTATGTTAAGATGGCAAAGGAGAAGTTAAAAGTGAGGAAGAAGAAAAGCGGCGAATTGAGGCCAGAAGAGAGAAGCAAAGGCGTAGAAGGGAAAAAAACAGTGAAAAATACGGTGATGGATACAGGTTTGTGCTATAACTTCTGTCTTGTGTGCAGTGTTTTTCTTCCCCTTTTTCCTTCTGTAAGAATATGTTCTCTTTCCTGAAAGACCCTTTGGACTGATTTTAGGAAAATAAAATGCAACGAAGAAACCACCAAAAAACCTACCCCCTGCCACCCTCCAAACCCCCCAACCCCCCAAAACCCCCCCAAAACCTAACCCAAACAAACAAAAAAACCTCAAACCAAAACCCAGCACCCAAATCCTGTGGCTTGGAAGACTGGATGTTTCACTGGGCCTCTGCTGTATCAGAAATTACACAATTTCCTAACCCCTTCTCCCCCACAAGTGCATCAGTGCACACTTGAGAAACAGCTTAGAATGATACTGCTTTTGAAGTATATATTTCAGTTAAATATATATTCATGCTGACTTAATAAGCTGTTAGAAATTGACTTTATTCTGGTTTTATATGTATGGTGAGCTATTTTATAGCAAAAATAAGCAGGTAGTTCTGTAACTTTTCTTAGTCTTGCCACAGGCAAGCGGGCTAATGGCCAGCACTGTTCAAAATGGTTCTGTGTCAGTGCAGTATATGATCATAGCATTAGTGCCTTTTCCTCGTTGTACTGAGGAGGCCATATTTCTTTATAAAGATTATATAGTTTTGTATGGAAAATGAGCTTTAAATTAATTCTTTTGACTATTTGTAGTTAGGAAATCGTGGACTGGCTTGACTATTAGAAGTACTACAAAAGGTGACAGAAACTAGAGAGCTATGATAGATACGCTCACAGAATAATGTGGCTTTTGAATGGCTAGCTTCTGATTTCAGCAGCTTTCGTCCTCTGCATAGATAATTCATAGATAATTCTGAGACTGGCCTGATTTATATTTGGTTCTTGTAGCAGTACCCTTCATAATGGTAAAATACTGGAATTTTTTTTTCTTTTTCACTTAGACTTCTTTAAAGAATGCTTTTCCCATTCCTTTTCTGATTAGGCTTGCCAAGTCCTCATACTTCTGAGGAGAGAAGGAAAAAAGTTTCTTTAATGGTAATATTATTTAATGTATTTCTCTTGGTAGAATGGCGTTTACTTGCTCATTTTGCAAATTTCGAACATTTGAGGAAAAAGAAATTGAGTCACATCTGGAGAGTGCAGCTCACCAGGAAACATTGGATCATATCCAGAAGCAAACGAAATTTGACAAAGTAGTGATGGAATTTCTTCATGTAAGACAACTGTTTTTTGATTTATATAATACTTTTACATTAGAGTGTAGTTACAATTTACCATTTATCTTCAAAATGTGCTTAATTTATCTTCGTTACTCGTTTTGCAGATGACTTTTGATAAGTTGAAGCAAATTCAGAGTCTGTAAAATAGCATTACTTTTACAATTAAAAGTAGTGCCTTAAGAAGGAACAGCAATTAATTGCAATTTATTACAGAGCTATTCTGAGTAATATTTTAATTATAGGTGCCCACTGGAATATAAACATTCGTACATCAAGTGTGTTACAATTTTTTTTTTCTGATTCTCTGTAGGAGTGTATGGTGAATAAATTCAAGAAGACAGCTATGCGTAAGCAACAGACGAGTAACCAAACGGAAAATGCTCAAGCTGCTGAAAAAGATATAATGGAAGGTGAGTAATGCTTTTTATGTGAAAGTGCATACTGTGGAGCTCTGCTTGTCCTTTTCTCCTTTCATTCTTCTTCGAATTTGATAAAATGTTTGGATTAAAATGATTAGTTTTCACACCTCTTCTGTACCTGGTTGGGATTCCTTGCTTCATTTTGGTTATAATGTGGAATGTAAGCACAATGGGAGATAGCATTATTTATGTTTGCTATCCAGGTAGCCTTGTCAGAAAGTAAGATAACATTGTGCTAGGTACTTGACAAACAGAATTATGTGGGCTTTGCCACAGTCTTACTCAGTATAATGCATGAGGACTGGCAACAGGTGGATGCAGATAGATTGAAAGAGAGTGTGTAATAAAGCAGTAAGGTGATAATTGTCAAGTATGATGGCAAGGATCTGGATAATGTAAGGCATAGTTGCTGTGGTTTTGAGGGACACTGAGAAAAAGAGGAGTTTGAGCACTTTCTTGGCTATCCAAGATGCATCTTGGCCTGAATTTTTTTCCCCTTGGCTGCCCTGCAGGCAGTTTTCTAGAACATTTTTTGTGTCCCTACCTTGCTGTGCCATATCCTTCCACTTTATCCTTTGCTTGAGGACTTTCAAAAGATTTGCTAGGGGGACATCTTTTGAGTACCTTTACTTTAGGCAGTAACTGTATTTGGATATTACCTTAATTTGAATTTAAATGCTAAAAGCTACTTAAAAATGGATATAGCTGACATCTTAACAATCTCCCAAATTCTTTTTGTGTACTTTCCTTAAGTACTGCAGGGCCTGTTTGCCTTTATGATCAGAATGATCTGTTGGCAAGGTAATATTTAAATTTGCAAGAGGAATTGGATTCATGTGCTTCTTCCTGGTGGTGAGGGGAGGCAAGGAAATAAATCAGTTGTTCTTATGAGGGGTAAGGTAAATCCAACTGCTTTGGTGAAGCTTTATTTTTTTGTATCAAAATGTGTATTATTAAGAATATTAGTTACTGTTGATTTTAAATAGATGGCATTTTTGTACATTAAATAGTTCAATTTGATTGTTGTATCATTTTTATTTCCCTCTATTTAGGCAGGTAGGTGTTCATATATCATAAGTCAGGTAGCAAACATAATTGCCTGGGTCTCATATGTAGTCTATGGAGAGAAGGAGTAGGGAATGTCCAAGTGAAAAACATCCTCCTTCAAGATTGCCTGCAGAGAGCCTAATTTTCATGCCTGAATTTGGGTGAATATTTTCCTGTGGTTGAGTTTGACATGTTTAACAACTGAGAGCTCTAATTTTCTGTATAAAACAACCAATCCCCTCTTCCACTTCCCTAGAATAACATGTTTTGTGTTAATGATTTGTTGCATCTTCTTTGGCAGGGGTTACTGCTGATGACCATATGATGAAAGTTGAGACTGTTCACTGCAGTGCTTGCAGTGTGTATGTTCCCGCATTACACAGTTCTGTTCAGCAGCACTTAAAATCTCCCGATCACACAAAAGGAAAACAAGTAAGATATGACATTTTATTTAAAAAAAAAAACAAAACACCAAAGCAAGCATAATCTAATAGTAGGTGAGAAGTGCTATGGTACTCGGTGCAAGTAATTTCTAAGTTCTTGTTGGTGGTGTTCTCTAGAAAGCCAGAATGTCCTTGTTACACTTTGTAAACATAATGTCTCATGAAGCAGCCAGCGCTTAAGCGCCCCCAGTTAATGAAATGTTGGTGTGCTTAATAGCTGGCAGTAGTAAGTCCTGAGAAGTTTACCAGGAATGACTTCTTTATTTTATCAGAATTTTTTCTACTGCCATTAAGTGTTGGAAAGATTTTGTTATTCAAATTGCAAAACATAATACATACATTTCCAGCAAGATAACAAACCTGGTGTCTTTGGTTTTTTTTGCTTGGCTACTATCTGTTTAATTTGAAGAAAAGCGAGAGCAGAGTAGTATGGAATTGGTCCCTGTTAGAATTTATAATGATACACTTTTAAGGTTGGTAGAAGGGTTGAAAGAGTAGTGCGAATGGAAAAAAATCATGGTTGTCATAGTAAGCAAGATTGCCAAAGTAATGTTTTGTTTATATATGAGCTTCTGTGATTATGAAATATCATAGAATAGTTTGGGTTGGAAGGGACCTTTAAAGGTCATCTAGTTCAACCCCCCTGCAATGAGCAGAGACATCTTCAACAATATATTAGGCTGTGATGGAAAAGCCTGCGTGTTATCTGTAGATGAGAACAGGTAACTGTGGTTGTAGACAGCTGTGTGTTTGTAGTTCATTATATAAGCAAGACGTGAATATATCTTTTGATTAAGCTAAAGCAACAAACTATAAACACTACCAAACTTCATTGAGCTTATTATGTTGTTTGGACTTAAATGCTAGTAATGAGCATTTCATGCTGTAATACGTTCATTATTTTCCTTTCAGAAACTTACCATGAATTCGAATTTGTGTGACAATTGGAATTAGGTGCAGGATAATTATTCACTGTAAAATTTGTTTCCTAGGCCTACAGAGAACAAATAAAAAGGGAGAGTGTTCTTACTGCCACCAGTATCTTGAATAATCCTATAGTCAAGGCACGATACGAGCTGTATGTGAAGGTAAGATGCAGGTGGAAAAAATGCCATCTGTAACGTTTGCTATACCACTATTTTCTCCATGCTGATAGAGTTTAACCTCAGTGCTCTGTCTTCTGTTACTGCCTTCCAGGTAGCTCACAGATTGAATATACTTTTAATGTATTTTACCAGTCTCAGATCATTGTCTAAGATAACTTCATTTGCAGAAAAAATTACCACTTTCAGATTTACCAGCTTTTGGTTTTTGTTTACCGTTTATATGCGTATCTAGTAAATTTTTAATTAGATGCTCTTATAAAAAAAAAAAGCAAGCTTTAGGAAAGCATCAGTAGTGTCTTTAACTCTAATACATCATACTAACTGTAGAGCACAAAACACATTACAAATGAGTCAATCTTAACCTTTAGAAGCAAAGGCTCCAGTGTGTGGCTTTGTACTAAAGTACAGTGCACGCATTACTCAGCTACTTTTTTTCCATAGAATTTCTAGGATTCATGGCAGCATACAAAAAACGAAAGCTTAGAATAGTAGTTGTCATGATCAGATAATTTAAAAGGCATGGTAGCCTATGTTGCAGATGCATGGCCCAAGAAACATATGTGAATTCATTTTAGCAAAATGTGGGTTTTTTCTTCTGGGCCAGTGAAGTGACTTTTTCTGTAGTACCATAGTTGTTATTTCTGGTAGTTATTTTTAATTGGTTTATAATTTTGCGTGTGCCTAAACAATAGATTCTTTCAATCAAAGCAATGTTGTATTCCAGAAATACGACAAGGTGTGAGCCAATGCAGAAGTTAATTGTGATTTAAAATGTCAAATTAGTCATGTCCTGCAAAATTGGTTGGGTGCGTGAATCAGTTTCAGACAACTGTTCTATATCTGTTAAGAAAACATAGCAAATGACCAGATACCACAGCCTGGAGTATCTGCGTGTATTTCCAGCCATCTCTTCTGGTGTTCCATATGGCCTGGTACAGCCCCCTAGTGGAGGACTGGTAAAAGGAGGAATGCAAATTTGCCATTCTTCAGTTGGAAAACTGAGGAAGATAAAATTTGCAAGATTGTCTTTGCAAGGAGACCGCTGACCTTTTCAGAATGCCTAGCACTGGTATTTCCTGGGGTGGATTGAACTTAGTGCACTTCCAGCAGCACCTGCTCAGTGAGATATATCTGGCTTCTGGTTATGCAAATCCCTCTCATCCTAATCCAAATGTGTAATCGACTGCAGACTGAAGGAGTCTAGTTTTATTATACAGCGTGTGATGAATCGGAGCGTGCGATGCATGCATTTGGTGCCTGCGGTCTTCCAGGAGAGTGGGAAATCCTTGTTACAGCCAAAAATAGCTTGCTTTGAAATGAAGGGCAGACTGGCTTGGGGAAACCCCCCTCCCTACCCTCCAACCAAAAACAACCAACCAACCAACCAACCAAAAACACCATCCAAAAAACCCAAACCCAACATTGTTTTGGAAAATGTTGTCTACCCTGCATATGCAGCTTGGAAGGAGGAAATTCAGAGCAGGGAAGACTCTGCGAGGCTGTCGCAAAGGCAGGTCATCAACATCACAAATGCCTCTGACAAAAGAAGAACAAAATTGCAGGTCAGCAACTCCTGATTTTTATGCATCCCTATTGATACAGTTTGACATGAGCAAAAAAGATTAAAGACTTTTTTTTTCCTTTTCTATTACACTGCTGGATTTCTGTGTGCATATGGGGAAGTTTATTCTTTTAATATGTGGCCTGGAAGAGGTGCATATCCCTAATAGAGTTGAATTAGGAAAAGTTCTTTTTCTGTTGAGGCCAATACTGCCTTCTAGAACCACACCCTGCCGAGAGGAATAGTCATCCACCTCTTTACTACAACCAGTATTTGGGACCCACCTTCCCCCATTGTGTGAAAAATTCTGCTTAAGCCGTTTTGGTTGCCCTGTGGAGCTACTGCTTGGAGGATGACAATTTAATGTAATTTGGGTTGATTGGCTGGCTGACACCTGGCAGCAGGTGATCAATTTTGAGGATATTTGCTGCATGTTGCATTGTGTAAGACCTTCCAAGGTTGAAAGCTCTGGGTAATGTTTGACTGAAAATGAGGGAGTGGATCATGATTTCTTGTCTGGAGTAAGCTAATTGACAGTCAATAACAACTGCTGTTTTACTTGGGACACCTTGGCTACTTCTTTTGAGTAGAACGCTATTCTGTCTGTGACTTATTCCTCTACCCAATGCTTAATGGAAAAATCTCTTCTGCCCTTTGATTTAATCTTCTCTCTAACTAGACACTGCTTCACAAGTTGTTTGCTGTATGTGCAAAAGGAAAGAAAGCAAATAGATGCATTCATTTTAAACAAACTTACAGCTTCAAATGTGCCATTCTACAAACACTCGACTTCCATTTTTCTTTAACTACATGTTTCTAGTTTGCACTGTGAAAAGGAAAGCAGAAAGAAAATTTTTTTTGGCTGTAAACATTTTCAAATATTTTCATATATAACCATTTAATTATGAAGTCAGTTTTAGATTTTCAAATTTCACAGCAAAATCTTTTTAAGAAGTAAGTGCAAACTTTGTAGTATTTACCTGTACGTGCTAAATAAGTATGCATACTTGAACTGGAATCTTTCAGCTAGTTCTGTAAGCTTGGACACATCAGCTGTAGCAAAGGTGTAAAGGTTAAATCGCCCTTGGTAATTTTCACTGAATTAAGCTATCTTTTTAATTTTTCATTTTTTATTAACATGGTAAAGGTGCCTGTGATGTCCACTGAAAATGGAAGGATCTATATGGAGTTAGCTTAAGATAATCCCTCATGTGTTGGGTGTGGGTTTTTTGTTTGTTTCAAGCCATTTGCAATTAGTGTCCCAGCTCCACAGAAAACAGCTTCAGTAAATTAGATGATGTGGCTCTAGAAGAGCTGGTGTTTCATAAAGGCTCTGATCTTTGTTATGCTTCTGGTCAGTGGCTAGAGTTATGAACGGAAAGGAAAAAACAAAGGTCCAGATAGGTCTTGACAGCCACAGCCGATGATGAGTGCAACAAGAATCATAATGCTGGAAAATAGCGTTTCTTAAAGGTGGCCTTCTTAATTTACTAATGCAGCTTCCTTGGATCTGTTAGTATTGGAATAACTGTCATATGTACCGTTCTTTCAGTCTTCTACTGGACCCCACTGTTAGGACTATCATTTCCTGTATCGTGTCTTCTGTCACAAAGTGCTGCTTCTGCTTTGGAGCTGGTGTCTGTATTGTTGGAAACTTCTCCATTCAGTTTCTAGAAAACCACTGTACCAGAACTGAGGTTTCCAGTCATCAAAACTTGCATGTGATCTTTATGATGCTAATGGTGCTGGTGACCATCTTTTACACTATCTTATTCCATGTTTTTTTTTGATTCCTATATTTGAAAATCCAAATCAGTGCTTAAATTAACAGCATATTGTTTGCATCCTCTCCTTTGCATGCAAGGAACCTTTCCTCTTAATCTTTTTGATATCTTCATCATAGATATTTTAATCAAAGAACCTCGAAAGGATTGTTTCTTACCATGGCCATTCTTTTAAAGAGCTCTGTGTTTCCCCAGTGTTGGTCTTGTGTGGTATCTGTTTGAGCTTCCAGTGTACTCTTTGTATGCTTTTTTAAAGTTCTTCATTTCTCCTTATTCTCCTACATCCATATTGTAAAGAGGGGGAAAGGGGGAAAATCCACCACAACCCACCTGCAGGCCACTCTGAAACAATCATCTTAGAGGTTTTATGAACCTGTAGCAAGTCCCTTTATAATAAGGAGGAAAAAAAGACGGTCTTGTCTCTCAGGCAAAAAGTTACCACTTGATGAAGTCATGACTGTCTCTAATTTTGGACCATTTAGAACTTCATAGATAGAATGATGTCTACGATTAAAAGCTGCTTGGATGTTGCTTAAGCGGTTGCATCATAGAGGTTGACATTTTCTGTCACTGTATCTCAGAACGGTTCATCATGTGTATTAGTGAAGGCATTCTAAAGTTTACCAGTTAGGTAGGCAGACTTTGGTATCCTTTGGGGTCAGGTTTGTGAGACCTGTTATAAATAGATACAGAGAGTGGTTTCTGGGGACATTTGAATCCCGAAGCTTTGCTTGTAAATACCAGTTCAGTCTTAAGCTTTCTCTGCAATTTAAATATTCTAGAGACAAGGAACCCAAAGAATGCATCTCTTGGGAATAAACTGCTTACCTGCTTGTGTTTTTATGCTCTGTAGGCATCATAAAGTCTTTCTGCAGCAGTTCATGGTGTGCCTGTGTTCTTGTTTTCTGGGTTTTTTTGTTCTGTTTTTTAAAGCCATCTGGGAAGATGTGTGGCTGTCAAAATCAACTAGCATCAAAATTGGCTCTGCATGCTGTGCTGGATGCCTCTGATGCTACATCACTGGAAAAGAGCGCAGTTGTTAGGATCTTCCCCTTGAGGGCAGTAACTTTCTCCTTAGTTTGAGAACTTGAAAAGTGCATTTTTCTCTGAAAAAACAGTTAGGGAAAGCAACTTAATTTTTTTTGTTATTATATATATATAATATAT